CCACTCAGCCTCACCTCTGTCAGTGCGACCCAGGGCAGCTGCGGCTACATCGTAGCTCATCCCCACCAGTGTGTGAATGTGTGTGTGTGAATGGGTGAATGACTGATTCTGTTGTAAAGCGCCTTGGGGGTTCCAGGACTCTAGAAGGTGCTATATCAAATACAGGCCACTTACCATTCATTATTTCTCCCTTTTATTGGTTGAAAGCAGAATTACAACTATTATGAACAAACCTTCAGCAGCCTGCTTTAGCTAGGCACTAACAATGCGCTAACACTAACAGGATCCAATTGATACTAATAAAGCCACAAAATAAAAAGATCCACATTGTTGGACAGAAATATTATTACCTACAAGCCCAGTAGCAACAAAGCCAGGTCACCATCAGTCCATGATTCCGTAGCTAGTGATGGGATTTATGACTCTTTGAAGGGCGCCGTTCATTAGTCATTTATCTCAAAGAGCTGTTCAACAGACTGGTTCTATTGAACAAAGCGAAGCCATGAGAGCTGGGGTGGGGCGTTTGGGAACAACGTGTTCTTCCGCTGTCTGTGAGAGCATCCGGAGTGATGGTATTGTTCCGCCGATGTCCATCACAGCAGTGGGTGGGTGAGGTTGTGAGGGCTGCACATTGCCGACTTCCGTAGAGGCGGAGGTGGGGTGGGGTGGGGGCTGTTACTACAAGACAAGATGCATGGCTCTCTACAAGGACTCGGCTCTTATTGTTCACTTTGACAATCTGTTCAAAAGATTAGTTTCATTTTTGAACATCACATCACTGTTCGTAGCCTCCTTTAGCTCCCTCAAATTCATGCTGATGTTCAGTCTGGTGTTAGCTCTTTGCCTCTCTTTCATAGACATTACTCTCACTTCCTGGCTCCAATATGATGTCATTAAAAAAGCAATTTGCATTATTTTTCTTCTTTTTGTGCGATATATTGTTATTCGACAAACTGAAAAAGCTAACTACTAGCCTTGAAATTAGTTACCAGCTGAGTAAACAGCTAACAGCCACAAAGCAGCTCCATCTATTTATCTTGTGCCACAAAGCTATTAAGCACAATTTCTGGTCAGCAGAGGGCTACAGACTGCTGCCCAATCTGAAATTGATACTTTAGGTTTTCTACTTTAAGAACTACTGAAACTGCTTTGAAAGCAATAGATTAAAGTGTTAAAAACGCTTTAGTGTTGCTATGAAGCAGGGTTCACACAGCAAGATAATCATGGAGATTTTTTACCTGCTCCTCACCTCCCATGCAATTTTAAGGATGCACACTATCATTCTAACGGCTCTTAAGATAATCTTATCATATAATCCTACCTTTTGTGGTGTTATGTGCTCTGATCTCCTTGGAAGGACATCAGATCCACTCAGATTTCAGACATGTTGGATTGTCTTTGTTTTTCAGAGACAAACAAACATGCCTGTTGATTGTGATGTCTAGCCAATCAGAAAGCAAGGTGATGGAAGGGGTCACCACACTCCCCCTCCACCATGTTTGTTCAATTCAAAGTCACTATTGATTTTGCACATTTTGTGAAAAAGAGGTTTGTGTGTAGTGTGTAATATTTTCTGAGTTGCAAAACTGTTATGTCTGTGATTTTTCATCACTGTGTGTGCTCACGCTTTGAAAATTGGCTGACAATTTAATAATCCAATTTAATAAAGGTGACTGGAGACTTGGTCCCTAGGTGTGAGTGAGTGAGTGAATGGTTGTCTCTGTGTGGCCCTGGGATGGATATTTGAGCTTTCCAGGGGTCCATGTCCCAGATGACTATTGAACATACTGTAAGCATCAGCTCCCTGTTACCTTTACTGGGGCTGAAGCAGTTAAGACAATGAATGAGTTAGAGCACCAGGGTTTCTGCAGGATATTTGTAAAAACAAAAATAAAAGTCTTTTTTGCATTATTTTAACAGTTTTGGAAACAGCAAACCCTGATTTACCTTTATGTTTTAAACTGATCATAGTTTGTTTTATGAAGAAAATGAATGTGAACAACAGGGTTGCCCTTTCCTATAGCGGGTGGGGATGTGCGAAACGGCCCCATCTAGATGCTGGAAGGGGAGCCGAGTGCCACCCAGGATGAAGGGTTACATCAGACTTGGCACAGACTCAATCAACCATACAAAGTGAAGTAGCGTGGCTCCATGACAGGATCTGTTTTTAAATAAATTTGTTATTGTCTTGTTCAATCCTCTCCTTCACCCATGCTTATTTACACATTCAGTCCTTTTCATATCATTGGCTCCATTGTCTCTGCAGTATTTTGGTTGATAATTGAAAATGTACCTGCATTCGCAGAAGGAATCTGTTGGATTGTAATTATTAATAAAAAGGTAATTGTTAACTGGAGGTCAACAGTTCTCCTGGGATGAGGAAATAAAAGGATATTGATTAAATTTCTATTTAGTTCATGTGTATGAGCTTGTGTCTGTGTTGAGTGTGGCTGTAAATTTGCTGTGTGTGTGTGTGTGTGTGTGTGTGTGTGTGTGTGTGTGTGTGTGTGTGTGTGTGTGTGTGTGTGTGTGTGTGTGTGTGTGTGTGTGTGTGTGTGTGTGTGTGTGTGTGTGTGTGTGTGTGTGTGAATTATCCCTGACACAGCTGTGCTTTCCTCTCCTCATCTGCTCCTGAGTGGATTTCTATTGAACAACTCTACTTTAGATGCCTCCAAAGCTCGCTAGTCATTATTATTGAAGTTTGATCTGAGCTGGTCACACACACACACACACACACACGCGCGGATGTATTTGGGACTAAACCCAGCAATTCGCTGTGCCTCATGCAGCCCTGTGTGGCCTTGCAACAGGGATGGTTACATAAGGAGAATATTTTAGGGGTCTCGTCTACTTCAAAGAGGTAAAACGTCACTGTGCCAAAACACATCACACAACCGTACATCAACAGAACGGAGTGAGAGAGGAGCTGAATAATGCTTTGTGTCTGATTCTTCTGATTCTTTTAGATGTCTGTTTTAGCTCTTACCTCTTTGTGTGTGTGTGTGTGTGTGTGTGTGTGTGTGTGTGTGTGTGTGTGTGTGTGTGTGTGTGCGCGCGCGTGCGTGCGTGCATGCGTGGTTACAGTAAGCAGGCAGGCAGTTGTGTTTCTCTTCTGAATTATGCAGACCAAGATGAAGGTGCAGAGAGGGGAAGATGGGGAGTTACACAGCTTTTGAATTAGAAGAGTCAAACATCGAGCTCTATGGAGCAGAATGGGTTGGAGTGGAGAAGAGAATAAAAACGCTGAAGATGACTTGAAGTAAGGCAGAGACCAGGATGTGGGAAGTACCATTCAGAAAACTGGGTATTCAACTTAAAACCCATAAAATATCCAAACTGCTCTATAAATCAGGTCCTCCAAACGCTGATTCTACAGCAAAACACACCCATTTCATAGACTGATCAATAAGAAGTAAAATCTGGACTGGGCATAAACACGTTTTTAAGCTGAACAGTTCATGCGAGCATGTCAACATCTTTTTTGTGAGGCGTGTTTGGAGAAATTCCTCTAAGCTGGTGTGTAGACCAAAAACCTTTGGTAGTTTTTGCTTCACTGGGGATTTGTCAACACATGCTGTGAGCAAACAGCCACACATTTTTGACACATTTTGATATGCAGGCTAATTTTGGCTCTTTTCCCTCTAAAATAAATATCTGGAGAATTACAGAATATTACAAACCTTTTTAAAGGGTTTCAAAACCCACCTTTTATGTACTCTACTGTTTTTGGGACAAAGATATTGCAGACACACACACACACACACACACACATGCACGCACACCAAGCATATAAGAATATATACTATATACTAAGTTATGTTAAAGGGGCATTATGGAAGTTTGACAGCCAAAACATGTATAGAAATAATAAATTTCTTATTCATACATTCTCCTGCAATGCCCTGGTCCTGTAGAATGAGCCCTGGCATTTTTAATGTGATTGCCTGTTTTTCTGTAAAATCACAGAAAAAGAGAGTTGAGCTGAGCTGCTCGGGTCGAGCAGGCTGCTTCATGCGCGTTCACGCTCAGGCGTAGCCCGTAGCATTTGCTATTAGTAGCTTTAGCAGCAGAGAGAGAGGTAGTGCCAACTCAGCGACTTTGTCGCTGTTCCTAACGCCTAGTGATGAACCTAGCTACATTTCTGAGGACCCTTAGCTTCTTTCTTCTAGGTATTTCCTGCAAATTAGCAACAAAATAGCCATTTTCGCTCTGAACCGTTCTTTGAACGTTGTTTTAGCTGTAATCAGGGATATAAATAATACAGATATTGAAAATGTCAGTTTAGCTCATCTAGTTTGATGTCAGACTCTTGTGCAGGAGACCTGGGTTTGATTCTGAGTGAAAACACAGTTTTTTTAGAGTTTCCTTTTTACATTAATGGTGTATTTTTTACAGTGAGATGCCCAAATTTTTATTTGAGACTTGCCGAACGGCATTGAATTCACAGATAAAAAAGATGTGGGTTCAACTTTCATTTTGGAACAATTTTTCAAGCAAGGGAAGGGAATGATCTGAGCATGCAGGAGGACTGACCCATCATAAACCTTTGTCAGCTGTGCTGAAGAGAAAGGTACAGAACCAAATTATTTAATTAATTAGCTGCGCGTTCTCCTGCCCTCTGTCCTCCGGGCCACACACACACACACACACACACACACACACACACACGCACGCACGCACGCACGCACGCACACACACACACACACACACACACACACACATACACACACACACACACAAGGGACAGTCAGCTCTCAGAGCGCTGTGCTTCACAGAGCTTCGTCTCAGCTGTTATTTTCGTTAAGGAGTGTGCACGTACAGCATGCACGCCTCGTGCACGAGCCTCCTATTGAAGCTGCCGTTAGGCTTTTGGCCAGAGGGGGCAATCTCGAGCAGAAAATTCAAAACTCCGTAAAGTCCCTTTAATTAGGAACACGTGTGAATTGTAAATATTTTACTCGTAATTTCTCTCGTTTCTCCTGCTACCTGTTCATGTCCAGGTATCGGTCAGGGCGTTCCGGTGGTGGCTCTCATTGTGGAAGGAGGACCTAATGTGATCTCCATAGTGCTGGAGTACCTCAGGGACACTCCTCCGGTCCCTGTGGTGGTGTGTGATGGCAGCGGGAGAGCGTCAGACATCTTGGCCTTTGGACACAAATACTCTGAAGAAGGAGGGTATGAATTCATTTTTGCATAGTGTCATGGATTTTATCAATATGTTTATCAATAACCGATTTCCTATAGTGTAGAAAGAAGGAGACAATGATCAAACAAGTCAAACAGTTATAACTGTGGCATAATGCACAAGGCAAAATGCCTCGAACATCTGTTCACAGCCTTTATTTATAGAGAGATGGGAGTGAAGAGAGAGATTGTGTCTGTGTGGGAAGTCAATAATGTGTGTGTGTGTGTGTGTGTGTGTGTGTGTGTGTGTGTGTGTGTGTGTGTGTGTGTGTGTCTTGTGTGGGTGTGTCTGAATAAGTGAGCATGCAGAGGCATAGAGCAATGCATTTACATTCAGTTGATTGAGTCCATGATTAAGAATTAATAAACACACATTTTTCCATAACACATAGAATGCAGTAATATTTTAAAACACATTTTAGTCCCAGTTTTTGCTAAACAAGCAAACTTAACATCAATTAATGCACTTTTACATATAGCCAATATGTTATGATATAAAAAATTATTTTAATGTAAAATCTCAACTGTTTTTAAGTGCACATACTCTGTGACAGCTGTGTAGGTTAATTTTCAAATTCAAATGTCCTTTTTTTATCAAACTTCTATTTCTTGTTTCCTCCCAGCCATTGCATTCACCTACTTCCTGACATTGTTTCTCTCTCTTTTGCACTCCCTTTCCTCTGCAGCATAATCAATGAGTCTCTTAGAGACCAGCTGCTGGTGACCATCCAGAAGACTTTCACCTACAGCCGCACACAGGCCCAACATCTGTTCATCATTCTCATGGAGTGCATGAAGAAGAAGGAACTGGTAATTCATTTACACACACACACACACACACACACACACGCGCGCGCACACACACGTGCACACACGCACACACACGTGCACACACGCACACACACTTTGACTTATTATGTCTACAATTGTAGCACCTTTGCACTTGCATATTCATGTCTGCAATATGCAAGATGAGCAGTTTAATGAGCTGTGTTTCAGTGTGACAACAAAGTACTGACATCACATCATCTCACACAGCATTACAGCACAAATTGCAAAATTGTCACATGTTACTTTAACAATGTTCTGTTTGTCAGATAAAGAGAAAAAACAAGTGAATCAAGTAGGGCATCCAAATAAGAGTCTAACTCTGAGTCAAGCAGTTAAAACTTCATCTCATGCAGGAAAAGTCAAGTTAAACAGATTTAAATGCATTCAGATGACATTTTGGACCTGCCGCAATGATCCTTGTATCCCTTTGGCACTGTTTAAGCCAGGACACATACCTAGTGAAGCCCAACAATCTGTGAGGTCCCTCTATTCCTCATAAGTCCTAGCTAAGTTATAAATGTGGATGTGTGTAATGTGTGTAAGAGATACCAATGTTGTTGCATCCACAAGGAATTTGTTTTGATGATTGATGGAGGATATAATTAAAGTGTGCATGAAATTAGAATGCATAAACATAAAAATGTAAAAACATCTGAGCATTTGTGGACATTGAACTGTCATCTGCAACTTTTTTATTTGTCTGCTTGTTTGGCAAAACCAGCACTAATCACTAATGAAACTGAAAAAAACTTGAATATCTTTGAATGTGCACAGTGAAGGGGCAGTTTACAAGAAAACCTGCATAGCTTAGTATTCCGGTTTATTGTTGTTGACAGGATTGATTGTTTTCTGCAGGGCAAAATAAATAAACAAGCTCACGATATTATAAACAAGAGTAGTAGAGTGTTTTCTTACATTGAAAACAAATTATTTATATCTAGCCATGGGGGTTTCTCCTCTCTGACCACTATGCTGCACCATCAGTTCATCAGACAGAAGCCTAGAGTGAACAAATCAAACCCTGGCATTAAAAAGTCTTCTCGCAAAAACACATGGAGATTTCAATATGTTGCTCTCTTGGGTTTTACCACTAGACACAAGTTAAACCAAACGGACTGGTTTTCTTATTTTTTCTGAATGTAAATCCAAACCAAAACACAAGCTATTACACGTCATCAACACATGTTAATAACACACCTAGCATTTTTTGTTGAAACGGGTCAAAAACGTGTCACACACAATTAGGGAAGCACCAATACCACTTTTTTCCAAACCGATTGTCACAGTCTGTCTCGTCTCCCCAGTTTCTGTTCAGTCCTGTGTCCCACCTGCTGCTCGTTACCCCAATCACACAAGTTACCAGCTCCTCATGTATTTAAACCCTCTCAGTCCTGTGTGTCTGGTTGGTTCATTGTTCCAATGTGAGCGTGCTTTTCATTAAAACCCTTAAAACGTCCTCGCCAGCGTGTTTTTGACTCACCTGCATATGGATCCTAACCTCAGCCTTTCACTCAACTCAGCAGCACCAATAGGATACCGATACTTGGATCTGAGTACTCGCAGATACGGATACTTCCACCACACAAAAAATGCAATGAATTGGAATATAGGTTTTATTTTCTTCTCTGCTTTCAACAGGAAAAGACTGTGATGTGGATAAAAAATAAAATATAATATTAGAAATTATCACAAAACTAAAATATTAGGTGAACAGAAATGACAAGTTACAGTGAAGCCACTTTCAGGCAAATGCACTGGTATCGGTTCCTGGCATTGGTTAACTTTTACTAATGCTGATACTGGTATCGTTATCGGTGCATCCCTACACACAATTTAGTCAGATGTGTGATCAGTAATGCTCACAGCTTGAAAATCAATTTAGCAGAAACATTTGTGCAAATATACGATATTAACTGAGCTACAATAATAAAAGCATGTGGATATTAATGAGTTGCTTGAACCTATTCTTGAAAATGTCAGATATCATTTCTGAAACTGCAAATTTAAATGGTGCAGTAACATATTAATTTAATTAGTTAAGAGTGAATATAAATTAAATTTATTCCTGTTACTTTAAACATAAATGTACCTTTGCAGCACATTTGTATTTACTAGTGTCTCCTATTTAGAGCAAGGCGTGCAGACACAACTTTAGAGGATGTTATTTTTTGTGTCCCTTGAGGTTTTTAATGCAGAGAATCTTGGATCTGCAGTGAATGTTGCTCGTGCACGTTTCATTTTAGCTCTTATATGAACTGATATCGTTATGTGAGCTGTTCTCTGCTGATCCTCACATCTTGCTAAGCTCGCCGTCTCCTACTGTAGCTTCAGGCAGCTTTGTGATTAGTGCACACATATGTGTGCTGTATGTTGAGAACGACTGCACCACGTGTTAATAGCAAATGATCAAATGAAAACATTAATCCTATACCTACCTTAGCTTGAAAGCTGCAGTCTTAAGTAAAAACTGGTTTGTTTGTGGCGTCATCTTTAATAGCAGGCATTGAAACCCCGACTAAATGGTCTATTCTGGGTTAATTTAATTTCCTTCTTAAAGATACAACATTGATTTTTAGACTCCAAGAAAGTTCGGAGTCAGATTTTTCATCTAAACAAAAGAACAAATGCTCCTAATTACAATATTTAGATGCTGTTTCAAGCAGTTTCTCAAGTAGCTCGCATGAGAAAAAAAGAATACAGTCCCCCGTGAGTGTCGCGAAACCTCCAACAGAAAAAAATCAATGTGATGTCCTGTACAGCTACTCAAACGTAATTGTGTTTTGTCTTCGAGGCTTACATCAAGTGTTGATTGACAACACTGTGGATTCCTCACACACACACACACACACACACACACACACACACACACACACACACACACAAGCGTGTGCATGCATGCATGATAGCACTGTAAGGATTTTTCTGCGGTACAGACACTGCCAGCAGCCACAGCTATATTTACAGGATCTTCTCTCTGCAGCAGCACACACTTTTTGCTGTCACCACTGTTAGATGTATACTTGTAGCGTTTTTAGCAAGTGGTGAACAGTTAAGTTTGTCATTAAGCTGATGCACTACCTTTCTTCGTCTTTCATTCTAATAGGCGTAATACACCAAGCGTTACACCATACACATGGATGCATGTGTGCATGCTATTTTCTAAGCAACCTCGAATGGATTGATTTCCTCCTCTGTGGGATTCCGGGGACAGACTGATGTTCACATCGGCGGAGCTTCTGAGCGCTGCACACAAAGCAGAAGGACAAAAGGGTGTGAATCATTCAGCAGCAGCAGCTGTAAAGCTTAGATAATCTGATACCGTCTCTCTGAGCAGAGATTTACGACTGTCATACTGAAACTGAGCAGTCAAAGTGCGATCTGACAATGCTGACAGTGCAAACTTACACTAAAGCTAACTGGGGAGTTTCTGTTGCTGCAGGCAGGAATTTTCCCCATGATCCCCAATCCTTCTGGGATTAATAAAGTATCTTTGATTTGATGAAACTTTTCAGCCTTTCCTTTTGCAGGACAGCATTTCTAACTGTTAGAAGCTATTGTACTGCATCTAATTTAAAGAGTTAGAAAGGCGTAGATAGAACAAAAAAAGGCAAGATCGAGGTTTTCTGTTGGAAAATTTAGAGTGTATTTTATATGAGATTCACACGGAAACATTTAGTCATTGTTTGTCTTTTTAATTTTCTTGTGTCATCTCTTGTAATGCTTGACTTTTGCTGATATGCTCCACACCTATGTTGTGATATCCTATATCACCCCATGTTTGTTTTCTTTACCTTACATTTCTTTATTGTTTTTTAAAATTTATTTAGCCAGTTTCTTGTTTTTAACACCAGTTTCTTAAACATTTTATCATAATGTAGACATTCCTTTTTTCATTTGTATTTGTGTTTGAAACATTGTATTTAAAAAAAATTAAGTTTTATATCAGTACTTTTAATTTTTCAAATATCCTCCAATTAGAACAGCAATGAAGTTATTTTTCCTGGTGTGGTAGAACGACTCGTTTAGATTTGCACAGTTTGATGTTCCACGTCACAAGTGCTCACCTTGTCTTGTGTAATTTTGGCACAGGGGCTTGGATTATTACCAAATGGCAATTGTATCATCGGCCAAGTCTCTAGAGATGACGAGTCATCTTTTTAATACTTATGAAATTATCTTCTCAACTCTCATCACGTGCCCACCTTCAGGCTTCACATCCAGGATTATTCTCTCACCGCCAGGCCTTCAGCTTCAAGGAAAACACACAAGGCACTGTCTGATCAGGAAAGCTGTCTCCATGTCACCCAACTAAATCAAGTGCCTTTGGCATTATTAAGTAAAGTTGAATGTACAAAATCTTTTACTTTTCATCACATCTTGTTGACACATTGTGTCTCCCGATTTTAACTGATCACTCATGTCAAATCGGGAGGATTTACCTGCCTGTCTTTCAGAAATAGATGAAGCAAAAGGCTTTATTTTGATAAAGAGACCCTCATGTCAGGAGAACCTTAGCTGGGTTTGAAATGTCACCATTTATTTTCAACCTGAAGCCCTGATGCTAACATATATATTGTCCTAAACAAAGACAGATGTGTCATATGTATATCATTTATTATGCTGGTTTATCAGTTAGTTGATCTGGGGGTGGGGTGAGGGTGCTGGCGGATCATAACACCACACTGTGAAAATGTAGAGCAGCCAGAAGGTCTTCAAGTTGAAAGAAGTAGAGGCAAACTGCAGCACATGGACATTGTTCCTTGAGAGCCAAAATGCTTCTCAGGCATTTATTTCACTGCTTTCCTTTTACAGATCACAAAATAATAAAAAAAAAAACCTTCCCAAGCCTCCACCTGGCTTCCTTTAAATACCCCACAAAATCACACCTGCAAACAATCAGCCCCAATCATCAGTGCTCCAACATTAAATCCAAAAGGAAATTAACATCCACATAAAAGCACCTAAATGTTAACATAAAC